ATGAACAGTATGAACAGTCTGAACAGTCTGAACAGTTAATCAGCAGTCTGAACAGTGAGTCAGCAGTCTGAACAGTCTGAGCAGTCTGAAAAGTTAATCATCGGTCTGAACAGTTAATCAGCAGTCTGGACAGTCTGAGCAGTTTATCATCGGTCTGAACAGTTAATTAGCAGTCTGAACAGCCTAAACAGTCTGAGCAGTGTGAACAGTTAATCAGTAGTCTGAACAGTGAGTCAGCAGTCTGAACTGTCTTAACAGTAAGTCAGCAGTCTGAACAGTCTAAACAGTGAGTCAGCAGTCTGAACAGTCTTAACAGTGAGTCAGCAGTCTGAACAGTCTAAACAGTGAGTCAGCAGTCTGAACAGTTAATCAGCAGTCTGAACAGACTAAACAGTGAGTCAGCAGTCTGAACAGTCTGAACAGTCTGAAAAGTTAATCAGCAGTCTGAACAGACTAAACAGTGAGTCAGCAGTCTGAACAGTCTGAACAGTTAATCAGCAGTCTGAACAGACTAAACAGTGAGTCAGCAGTCTGAACAGTCTGAAAAGTTAATCAGCAGTCTGAACAGACTAAACAGTGAGTCAGAAGTCTGAACAGTCTGAACAGTTAATCAGCAGTCTGAACAGTTAATCAGCAGTCTGAACAGACTAAACAGTGAGTCAGCAGTCTGAACAGTCTGAAAAGTTAATCAGCAATCTGAACAGTTTGAACAGTCTGAACAGTTAATCAGCAGTCTGAACAGTTAATCAGCAGTCTGAACAGTTAATCAGCAGTCTGAACAGACTAAACAGTGAGTCAGCAGTCTGAACAGTCTGAACAGTCTGAAAAGTTAATCAGCAGTCTGAACAGACTAAACAGTGAGTCAGCAGTCTGAACAGTCTGAACAGTTAATCAGCAGTCTGAACAGACTAAACAGTGAGTCAGCAGTCTGAACAGTCTGAAAAGTTAATCAGCAGTCTGAACAGACTAAACAGTGAGTCAGCAGTCTGAACAGTCTGAAAAGTTAATCAGCAATCTGAACAGTTTGAACAGTCTGAACAGTTAATCAGCAGTCTGAACAGTTAATCAGCAATCTGAACAGTTTGAACAGTCTGAACAGTTAATCAGCAGTCTGAACAGTTAATCAGCAGTCTGAACAGACTAAACAGTGAGTCAGCAGTCTGAACAGTCTGAACAGTTAATCAGCAGTCTGAACAGACTAAACAGTGAGTCAGCAGTCTGAACAGTCTGAAAAGTTAATCAGCAATCTGAACAGTTTGAAGAGTCTGAACAGTTAATCAGCAGTCTGAACAGTTTAATCAGCAGTCTGAACATTGTAAGTTGCTTTGGATAATAGCATCAGCACGATGTAAATGTAAATGTTAATGGTTATTCAGCAGTCTGAACAGTGAGTCAACAATCTGAACGGTGAATCGGCAGTCGCCCCACATAATGTGCCCAAAGCTCTGTGTGGATGTGTTTTGTACCATATACAGTTTTTGGCAAAGGAGGGATGGACGTCTCTTAGAAGTTGTGTTTACTGAAGATAAGGAGCTTGACTGAGAGCGTGTGAGGAGGGTGGTGAGTGGATTGTGGCATCATGAGCAGCCGGAGGAACCAGATTATCTGTCTCGTGTTACTGCTATCAGGATAAAGTGACAATTTCAGTAAATTTGCCAAGAAAGGATTTTGTTCTTCAGTTACCTGCTGAACCTTTAAGAGAAAACAATTTACAAAACACGTTCAGCCACACATGTATCAAACAGAAACTCACTCTCTAGATTAACCTAGATGATAGCAACAGAAGAGCCAGAATATAAAAATGTATGCTTTTTATATGTAAACAGAATATGATGATGAAGATGATGAATAAGATGATACAGCCCTATAGTCAACATCTAACCGCCAGACTTTGAACTGCAAACTGATTATGTTTCTTATCATCTGTGCTGTGATCATATTAAAGAGAACATGTTTGAGTTTCAGGGTCACTCTGGTGGAAAGTAACGCAGCTTTAATTTCCTGCTGAAGTGTTTTTGTGTTTGTCAGAGAGCAACAGAAACAGCAGCCGCTCAGACAGCGTGTGATTTATGACTGTAATATCTCACAGACTGCACCAGTACAGATTAATGATGCTGAGTGTTCAGAAGGACGAGGTTTGTATCTGTGATTCTGTGTGATGATGAGAAAGAGGAAGAGCCTCACTCTGAGGATTCAGTTTATTTTCTGCAGAAATTAGAGCTGGCTATGGATAGAAATGTTGCCATACTAGTGCCAATACGATACCTTATTGAACAAACTGAGCTAAAATTGTCAAATGTTGTCTGAAAACGAGCAGCCATACAAGAACCGAGAAAAAAATCTTCAGTCTGAAACTGAAGAAATTGTGATTTAAATCAGAAGCTATCTGATCAAAAATAAAGTAAATAAATAAAAAGTCACCAACATAATAAGTCTGACCAGGTATTTGGTGTCAGCTTTCAGTAGTCTCCAGTTTAACACATCGTTATGCAGCAACAACTAAAGTGCAGGATCTCAAAGAATTACATGTTCTCTGTTTGCAGTCCTGGACCATGGCTTAGCTTCACTGAAAAAGAGAACGACACAGCAGAATGCAACAGCTGCAGAAAGGAGGTTTGGTGCGAGGGAGGAAGCAGCTCCAATATGACGAAGCATTTCCTTCAACACGGCATGAATCTGAAGGAACGCTTCACCCAGTTCAACGTGTCGCGCTCTCCCAGCTACAATGACGCCCAAGATACAACTAACTCTAACAGTGGCAACGTCTCAGGTACAAAACACAGGTGAGCTGACGCTCACCTTTTATACTGAAGAGAAACCAATGGTGTCTACAAATGGTTCAACATATATTTATCTTAGAAACAAGTCCCCAGAGACTCCTTTAACTTTAGAGATAAGAAGGGGAAGATGAGCAAGGACGAAGAGGAAGAAGGTCACAGAGTGCTGACAGGATCTGTGGTGAAGGAACCAGTAAAATGTATCTGCTAAATGTTCACTAACAATGTTGTTTCACCTGTTTCTCCTACAATGTCTGTTCCTCTGGTTGTGTTCGATGCCTCACAGCTCAGGTTCAGGAAAGATGCAGGACAGCACCAGTATTAATCAGAAACATAATCGCTCTCCAATGATTAAAGCCTGGATTTTAATCCCTTCATGTGTGTCCTTTCTGACTCCAGGTTATACTAACTTTGACCTCAACACACAGACTAAAATTATGTGTTACAGCAGCTGAAATCAACAGTTGCTTAAACTTTCACAGTCATTGTTAATTATGTTTAAAGAGGTCATTTTCTGACCTTTTCTCTCTCCTTTATTGTGTTATATTTTTGTGCATGTAATAGGTTTGCAAAGTAAAAAAGCCCAAAATCCACCCCACAGGAAGTTCCCATCTACCACAGAAAACACTGCTCCTGAACTGCCTGAAAACAGCTTGATTGTATTACAGCCTTCATTTCCGTAACCTATTTGTGTCTCTTTGTAACCTTCTCTGCTTCTGATAGGCTAGTAGTCACCAACACAAGGTACTGCACATGTGCAGCTCCCAACAAAGATCAAATAGAAGTGAAATGTGCATTATGACAAAAATATGTTGTTTTTAGAACATTAAACCATGTAAACCTGTTCTGGTACAACCCCTAAACCAGAGCTGTCGGCTGTTTTTGACCCCACATGTCCTCACCGTGTCTGAAACGCAAAGTGGTCCTCACAAAGACAGATGAACAAGATTACAAACGCACACACACGCACACACAGCAGCCGTCAGGAGACCTACTGTAATTGGTGTAATATGAGGCCCTGTTGCTGTGGGTTACCGTCTCCTGTCGCTATGGTGACAGGAGCTGAGACGTAATGTTCCTGCGGTCGCACACACACACTCACACCTGAACATCCCCCACTCTCTGTTTCTCTCTGCACTGATCAACCTGATCAATACCTAATACGTCAAATGGAAACCAGAGCTGTGATAAAAGCAGGTAAACATCAGAACAAACATACACCCACACGTCCTGTGATAAAGAATAAACAGCAGCGACATCATTCTGCATCAGTATCAGGTTACCGTCATGACGCAGCATCATGACCATAAATCAGTACATACAACACACACACATGTACACTTCCTCTCTCTCTCTCTCTCTGCATGTGTCGTCGGTGGGACTTGTCCTTACCTGAGCGGCGTGGATCAGAGCGGTGCTGAGCAGCAGGAGGCTGAGATACGCCATGCTACTGACTGAACACACACTGACTATCTACACCACTCATCTGGCAACAGGGGGAGGGAGGGAGGTGCTACAGTGATGAGGAGTGAGGGAGGTGGGGGAGGAGTGATGACTCAGGCGAGGAGACGAGAGGTATGGAGTAGATAAGGAAAGGGGGGGGAGGAGGAAAAATTATGTGTTGACTGTGAAGGAGGGGAGGAGAGAGGGAGGAGCCATGAGAAGGAGGAGACGAGGAGAGAAGGGAGGATGAAAAGAGGAGAGGAAGTAGCAGGGAGAGAGGAGAGGATGGGGGAGGGGGGAGGAAGGTGGAAAAGGAAAAGAAAGGTGGAGGAGAAGAAGGGATCAGTCATTTTGTTTGTTCATTCAGTAATCCATTTATTCACTCATTCATTTATTCAGTCTTTAATTTCATAATCTCATGTGTGAGGCGTTCATTCATTTAGTCATTTGTTTATTCTTGCATCTATTCATCCATAAATCTGTTGTTAATTAATTTATTCTTGCTTTCATGCATCCATAAATCTATCATTCTTTCATTCATTCATTTATTTATTTTTTCATTTATTCTTGCTTTCTTTCATCCATAGCTCAGTCATTCATTAATTTATTCATTCATTTGTCCATAGATCTGTCATTTATTCATTAATTCATTCTTGCATTCATTCGTCCATAGATCTGTCAGCAATTCATTCATTTAATATTGCTTTCATTCGTCCATAGATCTGTCATTCATTCATTCATTTGTTCATTCACTCTGAATGAACAGAGTCAGAGACTGGCTGAGACGAGTTTGTAGTTTATTGAAACTTTACACTGAATAAACACTGCGGGGGGGGGGGGCGTCTCCATAGCAACAAGTCACACACACCACCATCATCATCATCACTGTTAACACAGTCGCCATGGTTACTGATGCTGAATAGAACATCATCACACAGGAAGTTACATCACAGAGGCAGAAAGTCACGAAGAAGAACGACAAGAAGAAGAACGACAGAGAGGAGGAGGAGGAAGACAGGAAGTGAAGATAAAAACAACAGAAGAAGAAAGTGAGCAAAGAGAAGAGGAGGTAAAGAAAAAAGAGAGTGATGAAGAGGAGGAGGGAAAAAAAGAGAGAGCCTGATAGAGAGATGTAGAAGTAGAACGGACAGGTAATGAGAGTGAACACTCACTCACTCACACACACACTCACACCTGTACAGGAGAACAGGAAGTAGAATCACACTGATCATCAGTCACTGTACAACACAAGCAGGAAACACATCACCATGCGGAGGAAGATACCGACGCCAAAAACAGCTTCACTTTCCCCCCCAAAAAACAAAGACAAAACAAAGAAGCATAAATTTTTTTTCTTATCATTTTTCAGACCCAGAAGACTTTTACAAAAAAAACAGCTCATGGCTGCAGCTGATTGGTCGAGAGCCGAGGAGAAGACAAATAAAAAAACACTGACAGAAACGTCCGTCTGAAGATTTAAACTGAAGCTTCCTCAGGCGTCCATTTTGTTTCTCACTTGTTCAGTGTCGTGGTGTTCATGTTGGCTGCTTTCTGTAAGGTGCCGCGTCACGCCCAGCGAACACAGGAGGCGTGTTGTTCAGACATGCTAACGTAACATTTGTCATTTTGATTTAAAGACGTGTTGATTGAGGAACTAACACTCACTAACCACTGTAATTGTAATTAACATTTACATCTTCATTTAGCTTTTTAAAAAAATGTAAATAAAGAATAGACTGCAGAACGTCCAGAAGCAGTGTGAGGGAGACGCTAATATAATTTATACCGTTAGGAAGGACGCCGTTAACACAGGCTAGCTAACATGATCAGCATGGTAACTGAAGTGGAGTCATCTTAAAATGTTGTTTCATTAAACTATCTGACCTCGGAGGGAAACAACCTTTAAGAGATTTCTGACTACACCAAAACCAAAGACATCACAATCTGTCCTTGTTCAGTGATGCAGCATTTTCACTGTCTCTCTGAATTTAGGAGAGCACAGTTGACGGCCAACCAGCGACAAAATGGACAACCCATTCTCATCCCAACTTGTCACATATGGGCGCTTGGTCAAGCCCTTGGTGTTGCTTTTTAATGCTCTGGGTACCCATTAGAGTTGTGTTTTGGGCATGTAGGGCTCCGCGGTCAAGTTAGCAGTCATGAATATGCAAAGTCAGGTTAGACTTTCAAAACAAAACTAGTGGTTAACTTTGTGAACCGTTTCAATTTGGTTAAATTTAGGCACCAAAACTGCTTGGTTAGGTTTACGACCCAAAACCGCTTGGTTAGGTTTAGGCACCAAAACCACGTGGTCAGGTTTAGTTGCCAAAACTACTTGGTTGGGTTTACGCCCCAAAAACGCTTGGTTAGGTTTAGGCACCAAAACAACTTGGTCAGGTTTAGTTACCAAAACCACTTGGTCGGGTTTAGTTACCAAAACCACTTGGTCAGGTTTAGTTACCAAAACCACTTGGTTGGGTTTACGCCCCAAAACCACTTGATGTGGTTTAAGCGGCTTCCCATATTTCGTTGAAATGTGATGCTAATGGCAGCCATGTGCGTTGGTACCTTGGTACCAGACACCGAAGGACATGACAAAGGGTAGGTATTTGACGTCCTGGGAATGAGAACGGGCTGAACTGGGTTTGGTTGGCAGTGACGGTTGAGACGGACGTTTGTGCAGCGAGCGTTCTGATCTGAGAGGAGCAGCAGGAACAAACCCGAAGCTCATGCCGAGCCCAGTAATCAAACACACAGACAGTGAAAACTGCAACAACGAGGAGCCACTTTGGATCCAGCCTTTCACCCGGCGTCACCATGAAGCTGGAGTCCGGACTGGGTTTACTGCGTCTCCAGAATGACATCACTTCCTGTGTTGATATTTACATGCAGCAAGACAAACAGCAAACAGCTGGGAGGTGATGCTGGCGCACGCAGGGTTGTTGTTGGTTTGGATCCAGTTTGATCTGGTTTTCGTTTGGCTGTTTGGGTCTGATTTGTGAACCCAGTCTAAACTGCTTCATGATTGGCCGATATGAATCTGGTCTGTTGGTCTTGGGGAGAAGGGCATACGACAGGGAGCAGGGCGGATCATTGGGTTCAATAGGAAACATGAATAAACAGTTCAGTCTATATTATATATCTGTTCAAAGTGATATCTATACAACACAAACATACATTCTCTCCACAGATTATGTACTTTAATATGAATAACTCTTATCAACATCGTCACTTGTTTCAGAAGGTTTGTATTCATCGGCCTTGTTGTTTTGTTCAAGTTGTGGATTTGTTATTTAGAACTCTTTTTTATCATTTACACATCGATTCATTATAGTGAACATCTATACCCCCACCCCAACCCTCTCTTTTAACCCCCACCCCACCCATTGACTTTGCAGACAGACGGGAGTGTTGCATTGTGGGTAGGTTGCAGGCGACCCACTATTGGTTCACTCCAACACTTTCTGTGAAGGAAAGGCAGACAAGGAAAGGACAGTTCAAACTCCAGAGATCACATGTAGTAAAAACTGTAAATAAATTATATAGAAAAATAATTGTTGATGAGCTTTAGCTAAAAAGCTATGCTTGCTATGCTAACGTTAATGTAATGTCAACAGCGGCTGTGGACGGAACATTGCTTTCATTATAAAGACTTGAAATGTTAGTATTTTTAAACCTGGGCCGTTTCCGCACATGTCGGTATTGAAATGACTCGTAGGTACAGAAAGTTTTGTGTTCTGTGAAGTTGATAGAGTAGTAGATGAACCGGCTGCAGGTACTGCAATGTATTTCTTCGGAAAAATGGTGTCCACAAAAAGTGCGTCTTTTTGCCAGCAACAGGCTCAGAGTGTTATACCAGAGGTTTACTAGGTATGTTTCTTGTATTCTCTCGTGCCTCGCTGAGATAAAAGCCTGGATTTCAATTAACTTTCTTCAGTTAACTGAATCAGAAATAATTGTATTTACCCCCGTGGGAACTAGCACTAGCGACCTTAATAATCTCTCCACTAGCCTGGGTGCACTTTCGGACGACATTCAGAAAGAAGCCCCCAACCTTGGTGTAATTTTTGTACTTCTTTTTGATGCTCAGAGAGTGACCAAAGTGGTGAAGTCCTGCTTTGTCCAGCGGAGACAGCTAACTAAGATTAGAACATTCCTCTCCTCTGCTGACTTAGAGAAGGTCATTCTTTATTTCCTCATGTCTCGACCACGACTGTGCTCATTCAAAATGCTGCAGCCTGGCTTCTAACTCGCACTAAGAGGAGTGACGACATTACACCAATCCCCTCCACCCTTCAGGGGTAACCTGTAAGTTTTAGAATTGATATTAAGATTTTACTACTTGTTTTTAAAGCCCTGAACAGTCAGGCTCCTGCCTATATCTGTTATTTGATAACTCCCTACGAGCCAGACTGATACCAGCGATCCTCTGGCAGGGCTCTACTAATGGTTCCAAAGTCTTATCTTGTCAATAAAGGGTTACCGGGCCTTTGCTGTTCGGGCCCCTCAGCTGTGGAACTCCCTGCCTGGAGATCACAAGCAGGCAAAGAGATTGTATGGCATTTTTATAAACATTATATTATTGCTGTTTTATTCTTTAATGGTGATTTTATTGTTGATTTCTAAATTATTTTAATTAATTTATATTTTTAAGTATGTATCTTGTGAGTTTTTACTGTACAACACTTTGTAACTTGGTTTTGAAAAGTGCTCTACAAATAAAGTTATCATTATTATTATACCAGGTGTCTGACAGTATCATGGAAAGGATCCCTACAAGGGACTCCTGGTAACCACCTTTGGTTTTAACAGGAAACTGAAGTCTCGCCCTGGAATCTCATGAGAGCCGACTTGTTGCAGGAAGTCTAAACTCGAGGTTTATTGATGAGAAGCTCAGCCTCTACTTCCTGTGTGACTCACCTGCTGACTGTCAGTTCACATCTGATTGGAGAAGGAGGTGGGTGCCCCCTGCTGGACATAGCCCTGACCGTACTCTGCATCCTGCAGGAGGAAACACAACAGCAGACACCATGACACACAGAAACAACGATGTACTGCAATGTACAATGTACTGAGGTACTGATGCATTAAGTCACTGTACTGCAGTACACTGAATCACTGTACTGTAGTACACTGAGTCAATGTAGTAACAAGAGGTGATATGTCTTCTAGTATATTCAACCAGTCCAGATGCCCTTGATTTTAACCTTCCTTGGATGCAAATCAGGTCTTTCTCCAAGTCGTTAAACATTGTTTGTGGTTGTTTTTAAGATGTTCAGCCTCTCTGAGTGGTAGGAGGTGCATTCTGGTGTATTTTGAAATCATCACCACCCCTATGGCTGTACCTGGTTGTATCCTTGCTGGTTGTAGTCGGGTTGGTAGCCCCCCTGGTTGCTGGCGTAGGGGTCCGGTTCGTATGCCCCCTGCTGGCCGTAGGCGTCTGGTGCGGCAGGTTTCTCCTGAGGAGGTGGAGCTCGCATGAAGGGAGCGATGATGCCCGTCTCCTTAAAGACGAACCAGAGGTTTCCCACCCACAGGACTAGGTTGATGAAACCAAAAGCCTGGAAGAGGAGAGGATGAAGGAGTTTCTGTCTACTTAGGTAGACCAATATGGAACATAGCTGAGTTACCTAGCTAGTAGCCAGCCAGCAATGAACATTAGCTTACCATTAGAACTCTAAATTGTTGGTGATGTAAATTGTGCGAGGCGAGAGATTGTTTGGTCCGGACTTTCAGACTTTTCAGTTTGATCCGAACCGAAATTGCAGGTGTGAAACCTCCCCCGGACCAAACAGACAAAATTTGGTCCGACAAAAAGAGGTATTTTCTAGTGTGAAAGCATTTTTTGGATGGTTCGGACTTCCAGACTATTTACAGGAAGTTTGGTGGTTCCCGTCTAAACCAGAAACAAACAAATGCACGGAGGTGCATATGTTATGCCGAAACACTGCAGACGACATAGGCCTAATGTTCGCACAACGAGGACATTTATTAGGCAAATTTAAACTAGCCTGTCTCAAAGCGTCGGTAATTGACACACTGAGATGAGAATGTGTTGCGAATTAAGTTGGTGCTGCAGCGAGTAACAGCAACAGTACATTCTGGCAACAGCATCAGTACATTCCTCATTATATTCCATCATATTTTAAATTGACAAATTTAATGGGATCTAAACATTAGTTGTCTCTCGCCAGTGATTACCGTACATATATTTTTGAGGTCCCATGCGGTCCGATGGGGCGGAAGAGGAAGGAAGGGACTCTTCATAATGATGCTTCTTGCAATCCTTCACTTTGAGGACATAATTTCCTCAAAACCTTTTGTTCATTGAATTTAACTAAATTAACTTCCTCTCTGTGCCACGGACATGGTCAGTTTGGTCGGTGGTTGGTTGAGTCGTCGGGCTTTGTGATGGTCTTACCACGGAGGTGTTGAGTCCAGACATGACCGGGTCGTGGACTTCACGGCAGCGGTTCCCCTCACTGTCACAGGCGGAGATCAGAGTGATCACTTTTTCCGGGTCAGTTGCAGTCTTCACGTCGGACAGACCTTTAGCCCAGGCCGCCGAACTCACCAGCCACATGAAGGCAAACACTCCAGTCACACCCAGGTCCTAAAAACACAGGGCGGATGAGTAACATTACCCAGAAGTCACCTGTCAGCGACGCAGCCAGCTCAGCAAACTTACGATCAGAGGGCCCTTGTTGTTCTCCTTGTACTTCTCGAAGAAGAAGACGTAGATGCTGAGAGCTGCTGTGGAGTAAAGGAAGGCGAAGACACCGATGGTGACAAAGAACTCGGCCGAGGAGGAGTAGTCACCAACCAGGAAGTAACGCTCCGTGTTTCCGCCCTTACAGGTGGGGGCATCAAAATACACCTGGTGGAGTCTGAAAGATGAAGAGGAAGGAAGTGTTTGAAATATTTGAATTTAATTTGGTTGATGTAACCCTACGTTGGGTTACATCAATCAAATTAAATTTGATGTACAGTGCGGTCTAGACCTGCTCTATATGGAAAGTGCAATGAGATAACTTCTCTTATGAATTGAATTGTATTGAAATATCTCAACAGCTGTTGTGAAGCTTGGTTTTAGATAATAATGGACCTGAGGGCATGAATTGTACAGATAGCTACAGATATCTGTTCATATATATGCTCCCTCTGGGTGATGTTAAACATAGGCATGGTATTACTTTCCATTTCTATGCGGATGATACACAATTATACCTACCTGTAAAGCCCCTGACCTGGACATGCTGAGTTCACTACAGGAACTTAACTTATTCCCCCCCCCCAAAAAAGCACATATCTCCAATGAAATGATGCCCTCTACTGGTGACTTGCTTCAACTTGTAAAGCCTGTTACAAGAAATCTTGTTTTATAGTAATTTATGAGCATCATGTTTCTAAGCTTGTCCAGTCCAGCTTTTACACACATGTACATGTTTTTTTCTCCTCACACCTTGACTATTGCAACAGCCTTTACACTTGCTTTAATCAAAAAAACGTAAATAGGTTACAAACTGTATAGAACTCAGCTGCTCGGCTCTTAAGGTCAAGGAAATATGATCATATCACCCCTGTTTTGCCATCTTTGCACTGGCTTCCTGTTTGTTTTAGGATAATTTTAGGACTTTGATTACTTTTAAGGCTATTCATTTTAACTCCTTGTGAACCTTTTTGTGGTCTAAGATCTTCTGGTAGGGGCCTCTTGTCTATTCCTGGATCCAGACTTGGTACGGAAGGTGACAGAGCATTTGCTGTTGACCCGCCTGAAGAAATAAGCACTCAGCTCGCAGCACAGATGAGTTTGATAAAAGTTGAACCCAGTCTAAAGAGATAAGCTTCAGATGTCAGAAATGGGCTCTTCTTTTACTTCGCTTTGTTGCTCTTATCATTCCAAGCTCCGAGCAGCCACTCACATTTGACCAGTTAAATTGTTTTTTATGGCTATCATTTACCTTAAAATATAGTATATAGAAATTGGTTTAGTCCATTTCAGTCCAGCCTTTGGTCACAACAAATATATTTTGTCAACAAGCTCCCAATTTCAGATTTAGTTGATGATGATGTTTTCTTTCTTAAATAATCCAAACTTCCTTAAGTTTATCTCTCCCGTTCGTGGCCACTGAACAAGACGATGTGTTCAGAAATTTTATGCAATGTGGCAACCGTTTTTGACTTATTAAATTTAAAATCATCCCAATATATATAGCTATATTTATGCTACATACTTATTTGTAATCCCCTTGTTATTTACCAATTATTTATTATAGTTTTCAGAGTGTCAAACACACAGACTCTTAGCCAGTGACAAGGGCAATATCATCTGTTCTAATACTTGTTTGATGTGTGTTTGATTACTGACAGTACAGTTCTGGTTTAAAAGGGACGGGGTTCTGGTGCACCTGCAGGCAGGCAGGTGGAGTTCTACATGCTCAACCAATTGTATTTCTCATTTGTTACATTTTGCATAACTCTGAAAATACTGAGCAAAAAAAAGAACATGTGCAGCTTCTGTCTAAAAGTCAGTTTTAGGTATCATTATTGATTGATTGATTGAATGATTGATTGATCAGCGTTGTACCAACCTGAATGGATACTCAAACTCCACCTCTATACTCAGGTCGCTGTCTGTCCGGTTCTTACACTCCACCGCCATCCGGAACATCCCAGAATAACTGCCACAGGTGGAGAAGGCAAAGATGGCGAAGAACTGGAGGATGAAGAAGAAGAATAAGAGGCGGAGCAACAAACAAACTGTAAGTAATAATGCAAGATGTGAAACGCCGGAGTCTCCGGTCATGCTAGCAGCTCTTAGACACAGCACTGCTTTAAGCTAAATGCTAACATTAGCATGCTAACATACTCACAACGCTAACATGCTGATGTTTAGCAGTAAACACAGCATCCAGCTGAGGCTGAATCAAGGTTATTATATTATATCACACTTTTGCATTTTTATTTCTTTTTGACTTTTTGTTGTCAAGTTCAGTTTAGTTTTAATTAGGTTTTAAGCTGGTTTGGCAGTTTAGTTTTTGAAAATGCTTTGTTAGTTTAAGTTAAATTTTTATTAGTTTCAATGTTAGATTTAGTCTTTGGGATTCTACCGATTTCTCCTGACTTTGAAAAGTCAGAGGATCACCAAAATATTAGTTCATTATGAGGGGAACATGAAAGTCTGAACCACATTTCATCACAATCCATCCAACAGTGTTTTCAGTCCGGACCGAAGCCCCAAAGCCCCCCTCCCTTGTGTCTATGTAATGCTTTGATGCAGCTAAAGTCTCCAAACTCTTCTTATTAATTTGCAGTTTATAAAATTACCACAAACAAAATGCCTTGGGGCCCCTGAGGGTCTGGGGCTCTGATGATAATCCAGCTTTAAATAATATCAAAGGGAAAAATACTTGATTTGTTCAGGTGATTTTAAAGTAAATATTGATTTGTGACTTGATCTTTGCTGAATTATCTGCATACCTAACCAACAGAACATTCACGCCATAATAATTATTCTACTACATTACATCGCTGTTATCCAGGAAATGTTCTGTGAATGAACCGGTATATACAAGCTTCTTTTAAGGGAAACTATTAAGATTCTTTTGAGTAGATTAGAGGGCAAGTAATCCACCAGTAAAATAAAATGTTACTAATAAAAATGTAGGAACAACCTGCCAGTGTCTTACTGTGGCTTAAATTACCTATTTTTTAAATGGGGTTCTGTTGAAGCGTAGGACGTGCTATTTTGTGAAGAAGAAAGAGTGACGCTCCTGCAGGATGATGACTCATCACCACTTCTGTCTGTAGAGACTCAGAGTCACGGCTTTAAACTGCAGCACGTCAGTGAGGAATCTAACCGACAGCCCTCTCAGTGTTAGTGCCCTGCTCAGCTGCTCTACGGTACATCACCATCATCATCATCATCATCATCATGCTGAGCAGCCTGCTCACAGAGGACACGCACACTCTGTGAGCAGATGGTCACAGTCAGACTTTCTGTCCAATCGCAGCTTGGCACTCTGTTTGTGTGTGTGTGTGTTGCTAAAGGACACTTCAGCAAGAGTTTTTATGTTTGGTGAGATTTAAACCAACAGACACGAAACTGTGAACTGTGAAATTTGTGATTTGTGTTTCGTCGCCGTGAAACCGTCTGTTGTTTAGGAACATTTTCAGCGCTCTCACTGGCTGTTATGGAAACCGCCTCCTGTACCAGCAGCACTGATGTGGCCTAAATCAGAAAAATCTGCAGTATGCTTAAAATTCCTGGATGTTATGCAGTTACTTTCTACTCCAGTGTGCATCGGACCAGTCTTCCTCGCGCACTGTTTCCCTCAATGCAAAGTGCTAAAATGGTCACAACAACCCGTCTTTTTAAAAATGCAATCTTGATTTATTCAGCAAATTAAGTTACACAGCTGCATCACTGCGTCAGCAGTGGACAGGATCTGTCCTTGTTAACAAAAAATCTTTTAAATACTTTGACCTCATTATTTGGCCATGTTTAACATGAACATCCAACATTATAACATTATAGAAATGCCAGAAAAAATGAAAAAGCATAATAGGTCTCCTTTAAATGTGTCTTCATCATCAGAGTGGGCGTGGCCTGAGGACGCTGATGTTCCACCGTTTGATACATCAGTTTGGCAAACAGAGAGAACAGATGTAAGTGGAGTTATCTGTGGTGTTGGTCTCATGAACTCACCCATTCTAAGGCCTTAATGAAGCCCAGAGGAACCTTCAGCACCCGGAAGTGGCCTTGGGCCACCAACTGCAGAGAAACCGAGATAAGGCTTTGTTTTAGTTGCACGTTCAAGGTTCAGTTTTAACAGCAAAACAAGAGCTATATATTAATAATAATAATAATAATAATAATAATAATAACAAAGCACTTTTCAAAACAAAGTTACAAAGTGCTTCACAACCAGGATTAAACCAATCAGGAAACAATTAAAATAATACAGAAATGAAAAGGGATAAAATGCCAACAAAATACAAACAATATTAAAAAACAACAATAAAAAAGTATAATGAATTATTTAATGAAATTATAACAGTGTGTCAACATCAATAAAACTCTTTTTTAAGTAGGCCTAATAATATAAAAGTTTTGAGAAAAGCTTTAAAATTTGTTAGTGTGTGATGTAACCCATAAAAATTAAACCACAGTATAAAAACAACACAAAAAACAAGAATAAACATTAAAGCAGCAGAGAACGTAGTAAAAACAATCAAAACAAGAGTGAAGTTAGAGGAGTGACAGTTTAGTTTCATGCGAACTTTTGAAATGTCAAAAAAAAAAAAAGAAGCGAAATCTGTGCGTTTCCATCAGCTGGTTTGGAGCGAATAAACCAGGCTACGGCGAGCGTAGTTACGTCAGTAGTTGACAAGTAAAACAAGACATATGGGTTCCAAACCAGAAACAAAACCAGTCGCATGAGGGCCATTGATCTTAGAAAAATGGAGAGAGGTCCTCAGGAATGTGTTTCAAGCGGGCAAGTTTTTACCAGCCATGTCTCTGCACGTTATGGGAATAACAGGTGTGCCGAATTCTGCATACCTGCCGAGAATTTCCTGCACCTCGTGGCTGATAACGCTCATTCGTGCTGAGAAAGCAGGTGGATGCAAATCTGGGCAGGTAGCCTTCATCAGCTGTTATTATGCATTCACCTCTTAAAGGTCCTTTTCAGATACTTTGCTCTGCACGCTGATCAAACGGGGTTATCACCGCATTTTTTTGCTGAATGCTACTTCTACTGAGTTTAATAAAATATTAACCACTCTAAACATTCAGAAAACATCCAAACTATAATTTTTTCTTAAACCAATCCTAACAGCCGTTTCACAACATTAACCACGTGTTTCATGTCATGTGACTTATGTAACATAGTCAAGGTCTGGTACGCCGGTTGCTGGACGGGTCAAACAACCTATTTTGTTGTTTAGGTATGAAGATGTGTTGAGTCTCTCAGATAAACAGAAAAACTCTTAGAACTTTGAAACTTTGTTGGAACCAGTATGTATATAAGTTATCTTATATTTACTCTCGCTCATGCAATCTGAAACAAGCGATATATATATATATCAAGACGTGTGCTAATGCAAGTGTGTATGTCTGTCTGCAGAAATGTACTGACAGGAAGTCTACAGCGGATGGTGTGACTGAAGGAAATGACACACGGAGCAGACAACTAAAATAACAGGAACCGAGTCCTGGCCCAGAGGAGCGACTGAGCTTAACGTACATAGTTCATGGAACAGTACTGTACAATAATGTATGTCACGTTGATCACGTTTCATGTTGCTGCTGCACCGCCTTTCCCCTTAGAGCAGCAACATGCATGTAACTAGGGAACGCCATGAATATAATAAAAAGAGAGGAAACGGAAGAGATACCTCGGTATTGGTTGGAGTTTGTAACTGAGTACATCTCTGTCCGTTCTCCTCGCGAGTAAAAAGCCATTAACTCTCTTTCTTCCTTGTCTGATATTATAGGTGTATGAACCTGAGAAACTTCTTTTAGGTCTCAACCTTGCTGAAACTCTGCTTCCTTTTGCAGAGTATTGTTTTATAAAGGAACAAAAAAAGACATCTCTGCAGGATTTTATATGTCTGTAAACAGACCTGCACTCAAAAAATGTTGTTTAAAATAAGCTGAATAGACGGACAGTCCTGTGTTCAAACAAACTGATCAATATTTCTGCTCAGATTTCCATCTGCTGTTTTCACAGACTGATATTTAATATTTAGTTACTACACTGTGTTTCTGTGGATGATTCCAGACTCCATTAACAAAAGCACTCAGTGACTCTGAAGAGGCCAAAATATCAAACATGTTTCATTAATGAATTTATGACTTTAAATAATTAATAGTCCAATAAAATGAATCTGAATAATAATAAAAATAAATAATAATAATAAATTTAAAAAAAAAATTCTGGCCCTTTTGCCCCAAATATTACTATTATTTGTCAGGTTCTTAGAGCTGAAAATATATGAAAATATTTTATAAAATAATTAATAAAAGATAAGATAAAACTTTTGTTTTTACTGCTTTTTATGCAGTTAAAATACAGTTAGTTGCTACTTTCAACTACTTTATAAACAGTTAGTTAGTTTAACAGTTAGCAGGTTTAAATGTTAGCTAGTTTTAATACTTTTTACAGTTAGCTAGTTTTAACAAATTAATACAGTTAGCTAGTTTAACTACTTTTTACAGTAGGCTGTTTTAACTTCTTTTAATACAGTTAGCTAGTTTTAAAAACATTTTACAGTCAGTTAGTTTTAACTACTTTATATAAAGTCAGCTAGTTTTAACTACTTTTTTACAGTTAGCTATTTTAACAAATGAATACAGTTAGCTAGTTCAACTACTTTTACAGTAGGCAGTTTTAACTTCTTTTAATACAGTTAGTTAGTTTTAAAAACATTTTACAGTCAGTTAGTTTTAACTACTTTATATAAAGTCAGCTAGTTTTACTTTTTACAGTTAGCTAGTTTTAACAAATTAATACAGTTAGTTAGTTTAACTACTTTTAACAGTTAGCTAGGTTTAAATGTTAGCTAGTTTTAACAAATTATTACAGTTGGTGTCTTTTCCACTGGGCCATCCCCACCCCTAGCCTAGTTTAGTTTTAATACTTTAAAATCATCAGTTTTAACTTTTAACTACTTTATATAAAGTCAGGTAGTTTTAACTACTTTTAACAGTTAGCTAGTTTTAACAAATTAATACAGTTAGCTAGTTCAACTACTTTTTACAGTAAGCTGTTTTAACTTCTTTTAATACAGTTAGCTAGTTTAAAAACATTTACAGTAAGTTAGTTTTAACTACTTTTGAAAAAAGTGGTGGGCCTATAATTGAGCCTTGTGGTACTCCCTTGGTGACAGTAAGGGCCTTAGACAGCAGATGTTCGACCTTACACTTTGGACTCTGCCAGTGAGGTAATTGGCAAACACCCCACTGAATGCTCAGAGACACCAACGTTCCTTAGTCGGTTCGCTAGGATGGAATGGTCTACTGTGTCGAAAGCTTTTGCCAGGTCAACATTGCTTCTTGTCAAGTGAATCTGTAATAATGTCATTTAAAACCTTGACGGTTGCGGTGGTACACCTAAAGCCAGTACGAAAACCAGATTGCAAACCAGAAATTAAACTATGATCATGAAGAAGTCAATCGGTTGCTTATTGACAAGTTTTCTGGCTCAGCTTGATCTCCACCCTTAAATAAAGGACTCACTACCGCTTCCTTCCAAGCGCTGGGAACTTCTGCACAGTGAAACGACAGGCTGAATAGGTGAGATAGAGGCTCAGCGATGATAGGGGCTGTGACTTAATCAAGAAAGGGTCTAAGCCATCTGACCCGGATGTCTTTTAGGGTCCAGATTAATGAGGTCATACAGCACCTGAGACTCCGTAACAGGCCGGAGGGTAAAACTGTGTTACGGGTATTGATGACTAGGGGGACGTGTTCACATCTAGTTACCTTTGATTTAATGGGAGAAAAGGGCACGTTGGATTGGCAGGGAGGTGTGGTTAAGTCAAACAGGGAGCCAGACTTAATGAAATGAAGATTGAAGAGCTCTGTCATACGGCCTTTGTCTGTGACAATGAAGTCATCAATGTTGAGGGACACTGGCAGCTGCAGCTGCAGGGAGGAGGGTCTACTTTCCATGCCCTTAACTATTCCCAAAATTTACTGGGATTAGAACTACAAAGAGAGAGCTGTTCCTTATAATAATCTATTTTGGCCTTGCGGACCGATTGAGGCACTTATTCGGTTTACATGCATGGTTGAATCGTTTGGCCTTGTTTCCATGTGGAGGCTTTTTGGCTGCAAGTCCTCCATGAAGGCCCATACCTCTCCGGAAAGTAGGGTCCCGCTGTTTTCTGCAGCTCTGAGCTGATAGAACTGCTGGACATCTTCACTGCGTCTAAGGTCCAAAGTGTTTCCGTTTTTTGTGCTTCTTCACATCTGCAAAGTCGTTTGCCTTGAAATGTCTGCCTGTGAGAGACCTTGCTGACGCAGTGTAACTACCTTGTGTCATGTTGCTGTGCTCGCTTGCCATGGTGAATGACTTTTGACAGTAAACTGTCCACTTGGAAACACATCCTTAAACTTTCACATACGACAAGATCAGCTGAAGGTTCGTGATTATCCAGAAGTGCTTAAATTCAGGTTCCACCGAGATTGAACTCGGATCACTGGATTCAAAGTCCAGAGTGCTAACCATTACACCATGGAACCACTACACAGAGGGAGGCAGTTTCTTACGCGAAATCACCATGTATATATTATCTATGCAGAGAACAGACGTGGGAGAGCTGTCGGGTTTGGCTGTTCCTCACCCAGTTGAATTCCTCCCCAAGGTTTCTGTTTCAGGTAGTGATTGTGTTTGAAACCTACATGTTGAATTGGTGATCATTAGCATCTGTTTGGTATAATTGTTTAATCAAACAGCTGACGATAAACCTACAAAATCCCTGACTTTGTGCAAGTGCGCCTGGAAGAACTGATGCTATTTTAAAAGCAAAGGGTGGTCACACCAAATATTACATGAGAGGCTAGAGAACAACTTCTTCTTTGAATCTGTATGTCAAACCCACTGTACTACTAACACTGTCTGTTTTTACTTATCACTTATCATCCAAATACAAGGAACGATTGACTCTTCTACCCCAATACGGTGAAAGGCATTTGCTGAGTTTGAAAAGTAGCTGTCAGAAGTGGGATTCGAACCCACGCCTCCAGAGGAGACTGCGACCTGAACGCAGCGCCTTAGACCGCTCGGCCATCCTGACTGCGCAACCTCGTGTACAGTAGAACCTTTGCTATATCATGACAGAGTGCATACGACACGATACAATACACTATGCCATGACACAAAAGCTGAATATGACAACAATCTAGATAGTAGCAGAGCGACATATAACAACAACACATAACATCACATGAAGCAATTACAGTTTCTGTGAACAAGTTGGTGATTTGCCTTAAAAGTGGCAGTGTTGACTAGAGTGGAGAGTTTTGTTTTTTTTGTTGTTGGTTCCAATCTTAGGACCAGCGAACTGAAAGGCGGTGCGACCTAATGATGTGTTAGCTGAAGGGATTTGTAGCCGGATGTGACTAGAAGAGCGGATGCTGTAGGTGACGGAAGAAGGATGAAGTAGACATCCCAAATACGGAGGGGTTAGGCCTAAGAGAGTTTTTTAAGTGAGCATAAACCAGTGGATCTTACGTCGAGTATGAAGGGATGTCCAGTTTATGGAGGCGTACAGATTGCAGTGGTGTGTCCTGTAAGGAGCATTGGTGGCAAGTCTGATAGCTGAGTGATTAAGAACATCTAGCCTCTCGAGAAGTCCCTTACCTTCAGACATGTAAATTACATAAAAGTCTAGCATGGGTAATAAGTCATCTGAATCAGGGTGAGTTTAGCAGATTGGGTGAATGATGACCGATTACGGTAGAGAAGCCCCAGTCTGGCCTTGACCTTGGCCTGTAGCTTGGTAATGTGATGAGAGTAAGATAGTGTGCTGTCTAACCAAACTCCCAAGCATTTGGATGCATTTACTTGCTCTAGTTCCACACCTCAACTTTGGTAATTACCGGGGTGGGAGACAGTTTTTTTTTCATACCAAACCCCATCAACTTTCTTTTGGAGGTATTAAGGACGAGGTGACGGTCGGAGAAAGCATGCTAGATACAATGGAAAGGTTGTTGAAGAGTTCTTAGAACCTTTTCCGGGGAGGACTCAACTGAATATAAAACAGTATCATCTGCATAGAAGTGAGTGTCCTGCACTTTTGAAAAAAGTGGTGGGCCTATAATTGAGCCTTGTGGTACTCCCTTGGTGACAGTAAGGGCCTTAGACAGCAGATGTTCTGACCTTACACTTTGGACTCTGCCAGTGAGGTAATTGGCAAACCACGCCACTGAATGCTCAGAGACACCAACGTTCCTTAGTCGGTTCGCTAGGATGGAATGGTCTACTGTGTCGAAAGCTTTTGCCAGGTCAACATTGCTTCTTGTCAAGTGAATCTGTAATAATGTCATTTAAAACCTTGACGGTTGCGGTGGTACACCTAAAGCCAGTACGAAAACCAGATTGCAAACCAGAAATTAAACTATGATCATGAAGAAAGTCAATCGGTTGCTTATTGACAAGTTTTCTGGCTCAGCTTGATCTCCACCCTTAAATAAAGGACTCACTACCGCTTCCTTCCAAGCGCTGGGAACTTCTGCACAGTGAAACGACAGGCTGAATAGGTGAGATAGAGGCTCAGCGATGATAGGGGCTGTGACTTTAATCAAGAAAGGGTCTAAGCCATCTGACCCGGATGTCTTTTTAGGGTCCAGATTAATGAGGTCATACAGCACCTGAGACTCCGTAACAGGCCGGAGGGTAAAACTGTGTTACGGGTATTGATGACTAGGGGGACGTGTTTCACATCTAGTTACCTTTGATTTAATGGGAGAAAAGGGCACGTTGGATTGGCAGGGAGGTGTGGTTAAGTCAAACAGGGAGCCAGACTTAATGAAATGAAGATTGAAGAGCTCTGTCATACGGCCTTTGTCTGTGACAATGAAGTCATCAATGTTGAGGGACACTGGCAGCTGCAGCTGCAGGGAGGAGGGTCTACTTTCCATGCCCTTAACTATTTCCCAAAATTTACTGGGATTAGAACTACAAAGAGAGAGCTGTTCCTTATAATAATCTATTTTGGCCTTGCGGACCGCCTGAGTGCACTTATTCGGTTTACATGCATGGTTGAATCGTTTGGCCTTGTTTCCATGTTGGAGGCTTTTTGGCTGCAAGTCCTCCATGAAGGCCCATACCTCTCCGGAAAGTAGGGTCCCGCTGTTTTCTGCAGCTCTGAGCTGATAGAACTGCTGGACATCTTCACTGCGTCTAAGGTCCAAAGTGTTTCCCGTTTCTTTGTGCTTCTTCACATCTGCAAAGTCGTTTGCCTTGAAATGTCTGCCTGTGAGAGACCTTGCTGACGCAGTGTAACTACCTTGTGTCATGTTGCTGTGCTCGGCCTTGCCATGGTGAATGACTTTTGACAGTAAACTGTCCACTTGGAAACACATCCTTAAACTTTCACATACGACAAGATCAGCTGAAGGTTCGTGATTATCCAGAAGTGCTTAAATTCAGGTTCCACCGAGATTTGAACTCGGATCACTGGATTCAAAGTCCAGAGTGCTAACCATTACACCATGGAACCACTACACAGAGACGGGAGGCAGTTTTTACGCGAAATCACCATGTATATTATCTATGCAGAGAACAGACGTGGGAGAGCTGTCGGGTTTGGCTGTTCCTCACCCAGTTGAATTCCTCCCCAAGCTGTTTCTGTTTCAGGTAGTGATTGTGTTTGAAACCTACATGTTGAATTGGTGATCATTAGCATCTGTTTGGTATAATTGTTTAATCAAACAGCTGACGATAAACCTACAAAATCCCTGACTTTGTGCAAGTGCGCCTGGAAGAACTGATGCTATTTTAAAAGCAAAGGGTGGTCACACCAAATATTACATGAGAGGCTAGAGAACAACTTCTTCTTTGAATCTGTATGTCAAACCCACTGTACTACTAACACTGTCTGTTTTTACTTATCACTTATCATCCAACATACAAGGAACGATTGACTCTTCTACCCCAATACCGTGTGAAAGGCATTTTGCTGAGTTTGAAAAGTAGCTGTCAGAAGTGGGATTCGAACCCACGCCTCCAGAGGAGACTGCGACCTGAACGCAGCGCCTTAGACCGCTCGGCCATCCTGACTGCGCAACCTCGTGTACAGTAGAACCTTTGCTATATCATGACAGAGTGCATACGACACGATACAATACACTATGCCATGACACAAAAGCTGAATAATGACAACAATCTAGATAGTAGCAGAGCGACATATAACAACAACACATAACATCACATGAAGCAATTACAGTTTTCTGTGAACAAGTTGGTGATTTTGCCTTTAAAAGTGGCAGTGTTGACTAGAGTGGAGAGTTTTGTTTTTTTTGTTGTTGGTTCCAATCTTAGGACCCAGCGAACTGAAAGGCGGTGCGACCTAATGATGTGTTAGCTGAAGGGATTTGTAGCCGGATGTGACTAGAAGAGCGGATGCTGTAGGTGACGGAAGAAGGATGAAGTAGACATCCCAAATACGGAGGGGTTAGGCCTAAGAGAGTTTTTTAAGTGAGCATAAACCAGTGGATCTTACGTCGAGTATGAAGGGATGTCCAGTTATGGAGGCGTACAGATTGCAGTGGTGTGTCCTGTAAGGAGCATTGGTGGCAAGTCTGATAGCTGAGTGATTAAGAACATCTAGCCTCTCGAGAAGTCCCTTACCTTCAGACATGTAAATTACATAACCAAAGTCTAGCATGGGTAATATAGTCATCTGAATCAGGGTGAGTTTAGCAGATTGGGTGAATGATGACCGATTACGGTAGAGAAGCCCCAGTCTGGCCTTGACCTTGGCCTGTAGCTTGGTAATGTGATGAGAGTAAGATAGTGTGCTGTCTAACCAAACTCCCAAGCATTTGGATGCATTTACTTGCTCTAGTTCCACACCTCAACTTTGGTAATTACACCGGGGTGGGAGACAGTTTTTTTTTCATACCAAACCCCATCAACTTTCTTTTGGAGGTATTAAGGACGAGGT